CACTTTATTTATGTCGGTCACTTTATTTATGTCGGTCACTTTATTTATGTCGGTCACTTTATTTATGTCGGTCACTTTATTTATGTCGGTCACTTTATTTATGTCGGTCACTTTATTTATGTCGGTCACTTTATTTATGTCGGTCACTTTATTTATGTCGGTCACTTTATTTATGTTGGTCGATTTATTTATGTCGGTCACTTTATTTATGTTGGTCACTTTATTTATGTCGGTCACTTTATTTATGTTGGTCGATTTATTTATGTCAGTCACTTTATTTATGTCGGTCACTTTATTTATGTCGGACACTTTATTTATGTCGGTCACTTTATTTATGTCGGTCACTTTATTTATGTCGGTCACTTTATTTATGTCGGTCACTTTATTTATGTCGGTCACTTTATTTATGTCGGTCACTTTATTTATGTCGGTCACTTTATTTATGTCGGTCACTTTATTTATGTCGATCACTTTATTTATGTCGGTCATCACTTTATTTATGTCGGTCACTTTATTTATGTCGGTCATGACTTTATTTTCACTTTATTTATGTCGGTCACTTTATTTATGTCGGTCACTTTATTTATGTCGGTCACTTTATTTATGTCGATCACTTTATTTATGTGGTCACTTTATTTATGTCGGTCACTTTATTTATGTCGGTCACTTTATTTATGTCGGTCACTTTATTTATGTCGGTCACTTTATTTATGTCGGTCACTTTATTTGTGTCACTACTGTTGCGGCGAAAAGACTGGAAACTATTTATGTTGCAGTAACTGTGATACTGCGTTTACATGCCGCAGTATCCCAGTTACTATCGGAATATTCCAGCTACAGTATCCCGATTTCTCATAACCGGGATACTGCCATAACCGTGACACTGAAACCGGGATACTGTGTATACATGCACCATGACCAGATACCGGAATACTCAAAAAACCCGATCATAACCGGGATACTGATGTGCATGTAAACACACTCACTGTTTTCCTACATGTGTGAAATTCCCTTGGACTCCATGGACTGAACGAACTCTACTCCCCGTGTTATCGTCTTTTTTCTTTTCTTAACTATGCAAATGCACTTTTTGTTGTTTTATCATTATTATTATACAGTATGTTGTGTTTCTGTTCCCTCATCCCGACATGTAACTGCTGACGACTGTTTGTGCACCCAGTTGTGTGTAATTAATAATAATATATATATTTTTTAAATGCAGCTAAACTCTGGAACTGAGTCTGACTTGAGGCACCACGAGCTGGAGCTTTCCTTAAAAAGTCTAGTACGAGTAATGTTCAGGGTTTCAAAATGAACACGCCTCTTAAATACAAATGTGACTGAGTTGAACAGATGACACAGAAAAAAAAACATGTCTCGCTTGTTAAGTTTGTACATTTTTTTTTTTTTTTTTTTTTTTATTTTATTTTTCTTTAGTTTTGAAAAAAAGAAAACAACATATAACACAAAACATTGAACATGACAAAGAGAGTAGTCAAATTTGACTGACTGCATCCAGTGTTTTTATATCACATTTAAATTTAAATAATATTACGGCACTTCCTTTCCAGCATATGAGTCCCATTTACTCCAAAGTTTGTCAAAGAGGTCCATTTTCAAATTAAGTCCAAATGTTATTTTTTCCATTTTCTTAATTTCATTTATAATTTCCGACCAGTCTTTGATTGATGGTGCAGTTTGTGTCATCCATTTTTTTGTAATAGCTTTTTTTCCCGCCACCAGAAGTATGTTCCAGAGATATCCATTGATTGTATCCATGGCAGGGGTTTTGAGGCCCAAGTACATAGTTTTGAAATCAAGTGGAATGGTCACATTAAAGATAATTCGCAATGCTTTGTTGATTTCTGTCCAATACTTATGGATCACATGACAGTCCCAAAACACATGGTAATGACGGGCGTCTCGGCAGCCACAGTTTCTCCAACACCCTGTATTTCCCTGTGAATAGTGGGCACTTTGGTTTGGTGTTATAAAAAAACGTGATATATTTTTCCACCCAAATTCTTTCCAGATATGTGATTTTGTGGTCCTCCATTGAGATATATATATATTTTCCCATTCTTCATCTGTCACTGTAAAATTACCTTCCCTTTCCCATTTATTTTTTATATATTTAGTAGAGTGGTTAGCCAGATTATTAATGCATTTATACAGTTTAGTTATCATTCCCTTTGAAAGCTCTGATTCATATGCCTTAATAAACATTTCGATCAGAGGATTGTAGTGATCAGCATTGCTTTGCTTAATGTTTTGGTTGTAATAACTTCTTATCTGTAAGTACCTGTAGAAGTCCTTGTTTTCTAAGCCAAAGGATTCCTTTAACGTGTCAAAACTTTTAACTTGATTTCCTTCTATAATCTGGTAAAACATTTTTAAACCTTTTATTATCCAGACCTTAAATCTTATGTCTGTGCCATTTGGTACAAAGCTTTGGTCATAAGCCAGCCATCTTAAGATTTTCACATCTTTATTTAGTTTATATTTTTTGATTAGTTCTTTCCAAGTAGTAAGTACTGATTTTACCCAGGGATTCTCCACCTCCCTCATGAGACCCAACCGTCCATCATCTGCCAATAAGGCCTGTATGGGGACTCCTGACTCCACATTACATTCGATATTTTTCCATTGAGCTTCATATTCTGGATCACACCAGTACAGCAAGGCTCTGATTTGAGCTGAGGTAAAATAATTCTTAAGGCAGGGAAGACCCCATCCACCATTTTTCTTTTGACAATTGTAGAGTTTTTTAACAGAATTCGGGGTTTTCTTGCCTTGCCATACAAATCTTGAGATTGTTTTGTCCCATTCATCAAATAAACGGTTGGGGATGGAGATCGGAAGGGTCTGAAACAAGTAGAGGAACCTGGGCAGAACATTCATTTTTATGGTTTCAATCCTTTGACTTAGACTCAAATATGGAATAAGATTCCATTTTTCAAGGTCTTTCTTTATTGTCGAAAAAAGAGGGGTATAGTTTTTCTCTAAAATTGATGACAGATCTTTATGAAGCACCACACCCAAGTATTTAAGAGATTCTGTTCGCCATTTGAATGGGTATATTTTTCTAAAGGGCAGTGGAGGGTGCCAATATGAAAGGATTTCAGTTTTCTGTATATTTAGTTTGTATCCGGACATTGGACCAATATTGTGAAGAAAATGCATCACATTAGGAATTGAAGTTTCTGGTTTGGTCAAAAATAACAGAACATCATCAGCATAGCAGGCAATTTTGTGTTCCGTCCCATCAATTATAACACCGCTAATTGTTTTTGACTGTCTAATATGCTGGGCCAATGGTTCCAAGTACAAAGCAAATAAAAGCGGAGACCAGGCACAACCCTGTCTGACTCCTCTTTCCAAGGTCAGTGGGTCCGTCATGTGACCGTTAACTTTAATTCTTGAAGTTGGACCATCGTAGAGAGCCTCAATATTTTCTTATTATTAGGTCATCAATTTGAAATTTATTCAGCACTTGAAATAAATATGGCCAGCTAACAGAGTCAAAAGCTTTCTCTGCGTCCAGACTAAGTATCACTGCTTTGCTTTGCTTTGCTTTTTGTATATGATTCATTATATGTAAAGTTCGTCTTATGTTATCTTGGGTCTGTCGCTTGTTAATAAATCCAGTTTGATCATTGTGAATTAAATTTGGGAGTATCTGTTCCATTCTTTTAGACATAATTGAGGTATATATACGGTAGTCCACGTTCAGAATCGAGATTGGTCTATACGAAGCACAGTCCAGACGATCTTTCCCTTCTTTGGGTATTAAAGATATGATAGCCTCTTTCCAGCTTGGAGGAATTTGAGCTTTTTTGAGTGCCCAGTTGAATGTAGTCAAGAGCAGGGGAGTAAGTGTTTCCTTTAGGGCCTTATACCACTCTGAGGTGAACCCATCGCTCCCCGGAGATTTGTTGTTGTTTGTATTGTATTGTTGTATCTCTTGATTGCGCTTTGTATTTCCAGAACAGTTATTTCAGCTCCTAGTTTTTTATTTTGCTCTTCAGTCATGACAGGTAGATTGAGAGTATCCAAAAAAGATTTTATTTCGTCTTCTTTACATTCTGATATTTTAGAAAAGAGTTTTTTGTAAAAAGATTCAAATGATGACTGTATTTGATCCTGTTGAGTTAAAATTACATCAGTTCGCTTATCTCTAATCTTAAAAATTGCTCTTTCAGCTTCTTGTTTCCTAAGTTTCCATGCTAATAATTTAGAAAATTTTGATCCACTTTCGTAGTATTTCTGCCTGGTAAAAAGCATTTTTTTAATTATTTCCTGTGAAGCCAGATCATTGATTTCATCTCTTATCTTTTTGATTTCCTGTAATGTTCTGGGTTTTTTATTCTTGATATGTTCTGCCTCTACCAATTTTAG